CTCTCGCTATATCTTTCTTTCCATCTCTCCTTTTCTCATGTATACACAAACTTTCCATCTCTCGCTTTCGCTTGCTGGCTGACCACTATCAAACCAGCTACAACCAGATTTGGGTCCTTCAGGACTACCGGAGGATGACTCAATTTTATGACAGCTATCATAATTATAGAAGAGATTATTAGTTATATGTAGGTACACAGTTCATGTGAAAGGGATGCTATGAATAAACCAGGAAAATATTGACATTGATAAACATACTGGTAAAACTTGAGTGAATCAGTTGGGAATTCTTAAGACTCAAAGCAAAACATCGCTGTGTTTTCTTCAAAGTAAGAAAAATCCATTCCGTGGATTCACAGATTTAGTTGGACTATTATCGACAGGTTTCCAATGCAGACCTTAAAGGGAAAAACAAAGACAGATTCCTGGATGAGTGTCTGGTGTATATAGTATTAAAGTCCCCCTGTAGTCAATGATTTGATCCCTTAAAGGGATACTCCACTTTTTTTGGAAATAGGCTCAATTTACAACTCCCCCAGAGTTAAACTGTTGAGTTTTACCGTTTTTGAATCCATTCAGCCGATCTCCGGTTCTGGCGGTACCACTTTTAGCATAGCTTAGCATACATCATTGGAGTGGACAAGACCATTAGCATTTCTCATTAAAAAATGACCAAAGTGTTTCGATATTTTTCCTATTTAAAACTTGACTCTTCTGTAGTTACATCGTGCACTAAGACCGACGGAAAATGTAAAGTTGCGATTTTCTAGGCTGATATGGCTAGGAACTATACTCTCATTCCTGCGTAATAATCAAGAAACTTCACTGCCGTACCATGAGAGCAGCAGGCGTAATGATATGACGCAGCGCCTGAAAATAGTTCCGTTGTGTTGACGGAAGGTGGCCTATTTTCAGGCGCTGCGTCATATCATTACGCCTGCTGCTCTCATGGTACGGCAGTGAAGTTTCTTGATTATTACGCAGGAATGAGAGCATAGTTCCTAGCCATATCAGCCTAGAAAATCGCAACTTTACATTTTCCGTCGGTCTTAGTGCACGATGTAACTACAGAAGAGTCAAGTTTTAAATAGGAAAAATATCGAAACACTTTGGTCATTTTTTAATGAGAAATGCTAATGGTCTTGTCCACTTCAATGATGTATGCTAAGCTATGGTAAAAGTGGTACCGCCAGAACCGGAGATCGGCTGAATGGATTCAAAAACGGTAAAACTCAACAGTTTAACTCTGGGGGAGTTGTAAAATGAGCCTATTTCCAAAAAAAGTGGAGTATCCCTTTAAAACTCATCTTTGATCACCAAAATGAAATATTTAAACGTTTTTTCCTTGAAAAAAATTCGTCAAATATATCTCTACACCCATGCCTCATTTAGTATACGCAGTTCTATGAATATGCTAATTAGCCCCGCCACCGGCTCAGAGATCCACTCGTTCACGATCACACGTTGACCTGATTGGTTAAAAGGTAGTTTGTGTCAGAAACACCAGCGATTTCAAACCACGTTTTTGAGACTGTCTTTGGTTCACTGCAGTTTTAAGGAGAAAAGACTTTGCACATGGGTTGTCTTAAAGCATATTAAAAACACCACATAAACAACATTAAAAACTTGATTTTCACCACAGGGGGACTTTAAGACTCTGTGATTGTGAAAGTGGGATGACAGATTTTATATTTAACATATTTAAATATATTTTATAAACAAGCAATATATATATATATATATATATATATATATATTTGTGTGTTTATCAACATTATACCACAATTGCTGTACTAAACCCAGAAGGCCCCTAAAATATTTTTGCATCTTAGCCAGATGTGTTTGGGTGTGCATGTACTGCAAAGCATAAATTAAGTCCCAGAGTAGCATTTACAAGTAGGCCTATGCATAGGTTTAAGAGTACACAAGTGCACAAGGAACGACATTCTCTGAATAAATGGATGGTGTCCCAAAGTGTGCATATGTGTGCAGACTGTGGCGGAAATCTAAACTATGATCCAGTTAAGCAAAAACCCCATGAGTAGTAAAAAAAAAAAAAAAAACTATTTTTATTACCCAGTTAAGCAACTATATCAATGTAGGGGACCGTTACAAAACTGTCCATGACACCTAAATGACATAGAGACCTAAAAAAAAGTGTCTGTGTGTGTACTAGGTGTATATAGGTTTTTTTTTTTGTGGGATTAGGAGAGTTGAAAATTATGTCTACTTCACCTTACCTATAACTCTCCATTTAGGTAAATGTTATCTTGTGGTTATGATTTGGATGAATGATCTCTCTCACTCTCTCTCTTTAACACACTGGCACAGTAGAGGAATTCACCTCCCTCGGTGCCAGTAGCTGCGCTTGTCTAAATCCAGTGCTCCCTACTGATACACGTGGCACTACCACACATCAAGAACGCAGTCGTGCCAGAGCTTCAAACAGTCTTAGCGCGTGTATGGGTGTGAAGGTGTGTGTCTAAGAGACGTAGAGAAGCAAATATTAAGAGGCTGTCGTGCCAATAGGAGGATACTTTCCCTCTCATGCACATACAAGAAAAAAAGCCTCATCCTAAGCAAGAGACATTTTATTTCTCAGGCTTTCTGATGCCATTCCTTTCACCCTCAACTTTCTCTCTCACCACTTTTCTTCCATTTTCTTCCAGTATCGCAACCTCTAATTCTTCTCATTCTCTATTTTCTTTCCCTCGACTGCGTGTGGGAGTTTGGATGTGGCCAGTGAGACCCAATCTGGAGTTCAGCCAAGAAAACTGCTTTCATCGTTGTTCCCTCAAAAGCGCTGAAAAATGAACCCTAAAATGTTCATACGATTTTCTCAACTCCCACAACTTGAAAACCCAATCTGACTCTGTTTCTCTCGTCTGTCTCTCACTTTCTTTCCCATCTTTCCTCCATCTGCCATTCACACACTGTCTGTCGGTCTCACGTTTTCTCTCTTTCACTCCCATTGTGCCATCTCTTTTTCACCCTTGTACCATATCTCCCTCCTCCTCTCATTCGATTTAATCCTTCCTCAAATTAAGGAGGTGGAGGGGGGGGGGACTTCCCATTCCACATTCTCTCCCAAAAATCTATTTTTGTCTGTGCTCTCTTACTCTACTCGGACTGAAGCATTTGATTGAAAAAAGAAGAAAAAAAAAAAAAAACGGAGCAAGGGAGCGATGAGTTCAAGCCTACTGGAGCTGAAACACACACGCAAGGGCAGAACACACACACACACACAGTCACACACACACACACACACACACACACACACACATAAAGAGCAGCCAGGGAGAAAAGCCACAAACAAAAGGATCATTTATTAAATGCAGAAAAGGGGGGCTTGCGGTTGTGACCACGTTGGACCAGCACAACGTTGGCCCCTTCTCAACATTCACAGCCAGCACGCCGCATTCCCCCCAGTGCCCATGCCATGCCGTCCACTAACTGCAAAAGACTCACTTCACCCACTCGCTGCTGCAAAAAAAGAGCGAGTATCATTCACTCTTCTTTCTCTAGTTTTTTAATCCAACTCTACACTCTGTGATAATCTTATTTGATTTGAAAATCAGGCTGCAAATCCGGGCCATCAAAATTTCATATTTAGCAAAAAACAAAGAAAGCGATACTCGGGTCAAAGACTTCTACAAACAACCACTGCAAGCTTTCTCCTATTCCGCAAGGTTCACTGTTTTCTTGCATAACGTAAACTGAACACGGAGATTCAGACATATGTGGTTTGCCTGCTCTGTCGATATTTGTACAAAAAGACCATTTATGCAAACATCCCATCACTGAACGGCAAACCCGAATCTAGCCACAAACCCATACGTGCATTTAAAACACGCAGAGAGAACTCAAAGAGACGGTAACTTAAACAGAATGAAAAGACTGTATTTAGCCATTTACCCTGTCATTGTAACCCTTCTATAAACATAACTATCGAGGACACTTTAATGTTTTAGCTCAAAGATAAACACTGGAAAATTCTAAAATACATTTAAAATGGTAAATCAAATTTAGGATCCAAGGGACTGACAGAGGCTGCAGACAAAACCAATGGTTATGAGATTTGCGAAAGGCAACTTTCCATTGCTCTCTGATTAGTATTGTCGGGATTGTAATGCCTGGTAGACAGGTGGCTCCTGTATATAGAGGCACCAGGTGGATATGAATAAAGAACAAAAGTGAACCATGGCCTCATAAAGTTTTGTTATGGAACAGGCTGTACTCTGTTTCCAGTGCATCATCACAACCTGTTATTGACTAAATTGGAACTAAAGATGAGATAAAAATACAGCAACACATTGAAAAGATATCAGACACGGTTCTGTCATCAGGTTTGTTAATTAGCTGCTAATATATTACAGAGTATAAGTTTGCATACTCCTTGCAGAATTTGCTAAATGTTTTTCCTTCATTAAAAATAATAAAAAATGCATTTAATTTATTACTGCCCTCGGCGTCCTCTCATGTCACATAATTGATATTTATATTCCAAATCAAAAATAACTGAATTTTCACACATCCTTTTAAAAAGTACATTTTATGCATTTGGAAGGTGCTTTTATTCACAGCAACTTACACTGCATCCGAGGTATACAACTTATAAGTTCAGCTTTTGCAATGATCAATGACTGTTTGTATGTTCTATGAAAAGACAACACATTTAATTAAAAACCAAGTAGAGTGTAAACTTTTCAACAGGATGATCGGTGTAAAATGTTATTTTGTCTTGTGGGAAATATGGAATATCTAGCTTCTGAAAAGCAGTACTAAAAAAAAAAAAAATAAGATCTGTTATCTATTATATTTGTATAAATTCTGCAAGAGATTTATAAACCAAGCAGACAAAGTATGCAAACTTAGGCACTGAATTGTATAATGAACCTGGTCAGTTTGGTGAAGCTATAAATAAATCTTATATTGTATGTGAAATTTGGAATTCAATACTTGTCAGACTAAACTCATTTTTAGATTAGAGCTGATCTTACCTGTACCATCTTTGCTGCTGCTGCTACCTTGGTGTGTCCGTAGCTCCTCTGACTTGTAAAAGTCAATGCTAGCATACATATTGAGGTTTGAAGCACTCCCGCCTGAACCTCCAGCTCCTACAGAGCTCCCTGCTGCTCCTCCACCCAGCACAGAGGAAAAGATACGGACAGCAGGTGTGTGGACAGCTGCTTGCCCATCTGTAGCAGCATGGGAGCTTTCCTTGTTAGCCAGGTCCAAGTCTATGTAATTGAGGCCCTGTTCCATAGATGATGTCTGTGAAACAGATAGACTGGGTAGTCCAGGGCTGATGTATTGAGATGAGATGTCTGCTGAGCCACTGTTCCCCCAAAGCATACCATCAAAACCAAGTCGACGGCCCATAACTTGAGAGTGATCAGGGAATGCAGAGGATGTTGCAGAGCAAGGTAGAAGTGAGGAAGGAGCTTGGAACGTTTCAGAGCAATGGCGTCGACGACCTTGTGGATCTGCTCGGATTACTTTAGCCCCGTGATCTGGGTTTGGGACTTTGGCAAGTGGAAAGTCTAGTCCCAGTCCCAAACCTAGGGCTGGAACTAATGACTCAGGCTGGTCTGGCAAAGAGGCTTTTGGTGATGTAGAACTTAACGTGCTGCCTGAGTTCAGGCTAAAGGCCATCTTTGTGTAGTCACCACAGGCTGTGGGTGGGTCTCCTGGCTGTGGTACAAACACCTGCCTGCTTTTTCTAAGCCCCATCTCACTCTCTGCATCATCCTCATTTAGAACTGAAGATCTGTGCTCATCATGAGCTTTAGGGGCTGCTGCAGGCGTGACAGGAGGGGTAGGGAATGGGGGAAACCCAAGTGGTGTGAGGGAGATAGGCGAGGGGGATAGTGAGACTCCTAGCTCCATATTGACATACTCAGAAGCAGTTAATGGAGAAATGGGGGCGGAGGAGCAATGTGAGAAGGGCATAAACCCAGCAAGACAAGAGGTAGGCCTGGGTAAGTGGCGGTGGGTGTTAGGTGGAAGAGAAGCATCTTGCCGAAATCCTCCAGTTCCATTACCTCCTGCCTTTTGGCTCCTCTCACCCTTAAACTCAATGCTGACATACTCCCCTGGGCTCTTAGGCTCAGGAGGAAGGGGTGTCTCACGGACTCTGGGTAAAGTGTTGGCTTTAGAGACATCCACAAACAGGCTAAGAGGTCGGCCCCTCTGACCAGGATGCCCTTGCTTTACCCTTCCAGACCCTTGTTTTTGCTGCAAGGATCCTTGCTCAATGTTCTTTGCAGTTGCACCAGCTGCTCTTCCTGTCAATTTGACGGCCTTTTCTTCACCTTCACCCAGGCTCTCGCTGCTAGCAGAACTGGAGGAGTATGAGGATGACGAAAGGGACAGATGTCGGCCAACCGGGGGTTCCTGATGCTTGGACTTGCTATTACCAAGCCCCCTACCTCCACCCAGACCTCTACCACCATTAACCAAATGCTTCCCTCTTCCTGGCCCTTCCTCAAAGTGTGTTGAAGGATTATGTTTGTATGAGCGGGGTAGAGAATAATAAGAATATACCATCTTGGGTGGAGGCTGCTGAGGATGCAGGTCAGATGGAGTGTGGGGCTCAGGTGGTGGTGGGGTACTATTGGCAGAGCGGGCACTTATAGGTGACATATTCATGTAGTCACTGCCAGTTCGGCTGTCGGCACTGCTACTGCCAACCCAGGCAGTAGGGACCCCTCGTTGGTCTGGTGAACAGCTACTATTGGGAGACATCATCATGTAGCCATCTGTACCAGAAGGTGGTGGACGGATCTGCCGTGGGGGTGAAATGCTATTATTGGGGGTCATGGCCATATAGTCATCTGCAGACTTTGAGTCTGGATCTGAAACGGTTACTGAGAGGGAGTGAGAAAGAGATACTGGGGGAGCTGTAACTCCTGGTAACATGGACATGTAGCCATTATCTACTGCTCCATTAGCTCTTCCAATGACAGCAGGTACACTCGTTTCACTGCTACCAGCATCACCTTTAACCTCTGCAGCTATTTCCAAGTATCCTGTTTCACTTGCTGTTGCTCCAGAATCCTGCCTTGATTCAAAGGATTCTCGCCCGGTGGTGTGAGTCATAATTGCATAGGCATCCTCTTCAGCAGCTTCTTCCCCAGTTCGACGGAGTGGTGCAAGTCTCTCTAAGGCCATGGGTGGGAGGGAGGCCCGCTTGCTCATTAGCCTGCGCTCTGCTTCACATTCTCTGCTAGAAGAGCGCCTCAGAACCCTCCTGGTCTGTGGCAATGCATTTTGGCTTGACTGAGTTTTGGAAGCTCCTCTCTGACTCATAAGGATGTAGTTAGATGCTTCATCCCCAAGAGAATGCCCACCTGAGCTACCTGCAGACCCTGGCTGCATAGTTGGGGTTAGCAGAGAGTGCTCACCAGGGCTGGAGCCGTATTCATCCGATGATCCGTAGTCGCTAAGAGATCCAGAGACAGAGGGCTGTCTGAGAGGTATTCTACTGTACATGCTACCATTACCACTTCCAACACTGCTGTTCGTCCCGGCTCCAATTGCACAAAACTCAGATCCATGTCCTGGCCCGGAAGGCAGGCTTGGTGCAGCTGGGGTTGAGGTGGATCTCATTAGTGCATGCTGTGCCTTGACTGGGGTTTGAGCACGAACAGATGTTGATCTCAGTATAGGGGTATTGGAACATGACCCATTGGTCGTTGGACTTGAGCATGAAGCAATCCCTCCAGCTGTTGCACCACCTCCATCATCAAATTTTCCACCATCACTTGATGTTCGAGTTCGGGGGAAGCTGTGGCGAGAAGTCGGAGAAGTGTTATTACATCCTCCAGTTGTCCCTGGTGGTTCGGTCCGTGGACGTCTTGTGAATCCAACCTGGCTGGGTGGAGGATTAGGGTGATGCCGTCGAGATGGAACACTAATAGGATTTGATGCAGTGGTGCCACCTCCCACTCCTGCAGCAGCTGACTGTGACTTGCTACGTTGGCGAAACTCCTCACTCAGGGCCTTCATGGCTTCCAGCAGAGTCTCATGCATATTCTGTGCAACCACAGAATCTTCCACTTGCATCCAAAACTCTCCAGGGCCAGTTACTGCTGAACGACCCACCTCCACGAAGAAGAAGTTTTCAGAATGACCACAACGCCTCACATTCATCAGCTGGAGCACAACAGCGGCTGCATCAGAGTTTAGCTTGACAAAGTTGACTGTCTTCTCAGTCAGACAGAGCCTGTAGATGCCAACCAGGTTCTTGGCTTGGCCAAGACCTTTAGGCCAAACTTTTACTTGCCAAACCTCCTTGAAGGCAGGACCAGGGGTTGGTATTCCATAGTCTCCCCCATTTGCACTGTCACAGAGTGCTTTACCTGCAGAGAGAGAGAGAGAAACATGTCAGTATAACCTTACACAATCAGGTAAATTTAGCAATCCACCATATAAACTCAAAGTAGGCACATCTTAATATAAATTTTAAATAAACAAAAAAAAATAATGTATCATGTAAAATGTAACCAAAAGGCATTTTAGTAAATATATATACTCAATTCTAGAAATGTCTGAGTAAGCAGAAAGCTTCATCTTTTACAACTAGAAGTGGTTTGTTAACAAGTGCAAACAAGGAGGACAAAGGTCACTGATAAAGACTGAAGTCAATGGGCCATTACTAATACAACTGCAAATGAACACTTGATACTCATATGAGATGCACTGTGAGTCAACAGCCAACAGTCAATACTGCAGTGTATGCAATGTGTCCAAGGGGATAAAAAGATTAACAATCTGTGGCCTACAGAATCATGCAATTAAAGGAATAATGCAGCAAAAGAAGCCTTTTAAAATAACTAGCAGAGAAAACCAAACATGACTGTCACACTTCACTTTCGAAAAGTTCCAGCATTGGTCAATATAAATGAACATATTGTTGTCCGTATCTACAGTGTCAGAACAGTGGCATAGTCCAGCTTGAGTCATTTCCTGATCCTCTTCTCCCCACCATTTCTTGTCCTCTCTGTAACATAACTCTCAATAAATGTAGTGAAAATAAGTAGTAACTTGCAATATACTGCATGCCGGGCACACAAACAAGCTTGGTACTACACTTTCCAAATCTGCAAACTGGTAAACAAACACCCCACAGGACCCTTCTGCCCCCAAACACCACACTTATGGATCCCTTAGCGTTTTGAATATTGAACCTGTAAATATTTAAAACTGCTTGCATAGTTCATATAAGGCCATGGGTAAGTCAGAGACAGGGCAACTATTTATTGTGATGTACGGTCATAAAGACAAGGAAATATTCTATCAAATACCATACAAGCCTTTGATGGTTTTCAACACAGATACAGACACACAGTCACTGGTTGAAACTTTATGAGAAGAATGTGGTAGGCAGTGCCAACCCTTTTATAGTCCCATTGATTTTCTTTAGAAAAACCTTGACATTGAGGCCATTAGCTTGGTTAATTCTCGATTTTTCCTACTGAGAAAGCATGCTATCTTCAATATATCAACTCTCCTTTCTGCAGGCTGTTCATCTGCATGAGGTTTCCAATAAGTCTTTTGTCTGTTCTCTAAAAGGTAAGGCCTGAAACACCTGGTTAATAACAGAAAGAGTGCAAATCAGTTGACAGATTGAGAAGGTGTTCACTCATAGTAAAGGTTCTCATTCTCTCCCTCTCTATTAGTACAAGTGCTGGCAGAGTCCTACAACCAACAGCTCTGTGAAAACAGACATGATGTTCATAATCCTGTAGGAACTCGCTGTTTAAGTCTGTTTCAAATTCGATGACTTTTCTTAATCTGCTGCAGCTTGCCCCACAAAACCTGCTTGTCGAAATCATTACTCTCCGGTGTTTGCATAATATTTGCTTGTCACAAGTTTGAATAATTTTACTAACTGTATCAACACCCCACTATGATCTGGAAATAGTGGAGCTCTCATTACTATACTATGCAAAATACGCTATTTTGCATGGCGCTTGTGACGCTAAATCAGTGTCAGAGTCAGTATGTTAGTGTCCCTGCAAAAAAAGCATGTTCAAACGCTACTCGACTGCTTGTACTTATTGTTTAGATACACTTAGCTCTAGTACACACACAAAGAACACGTCATTGTACCCAGTCTCTTGCTGTGAATCTGAGAATCACAATGCTTCCAACACAGATGAAACAATTACAACCACATGCACAAAAAGCACACAGAGTACGCATAAGAAGGATCACCACTCCTCTTATGTCTGACCAACATATCCGGTACCGTTTCCAGAACATTTCTGTTGTGGTCACATAATTGCGTGTATTCTTTCTTCCGTTCTTTCACTTAAATGGAAGAATGAGCAGCTTCATTCAAAGGTGATTTGCCCCAAATGTATGCGTGTTTGATTTTATGTGTTCTAGGCCCCTCTGAATGCTTGTGCGAACTTAAGTGAGGTTGGTAGCCTGCATTAGATGAGTCAGAGACAAAGCCACACATGACTTTTTAATGACTATCCATAGGAACTCTCCCTCTCTCTGCCTGTCCTACTCTCCTGAACACTGCTTTCAAACATAGACAGTCTACATTTTAAAATGCAAGAAAATAATAGAAATTAAGAGGCTTAAAGTAACAGAAATAACCAGATGCTTTGAGTGGTTCCTAAACCATTGGTAATGGGTTTCTACATTGTTCTGTGTGATTGCAAGATGGTTATTTAGCACTGGATCAAAAAAATAAATAAATCACTCACAAGTCTCTATGATATTTACTAGATATTTGGTCCCTCCTTCAGAGGACTTTCTTTCTTGATATGAGACTAAACAAAACTCTTTAACAGCATGCTCTGTGTTTATAATCAGCACTTGCTTCAAATTTTGCACAAGCACACACCACATGAGACTGGCTGTAGTCTCTGGCCTGTACCTTTGATATTTTGAACATGCCGTCCTGATCGAATCCCTCCATTTGATATTGTGATAGATAAATCACATCAGAGCACGATCAGCATCTTAACAGCAACTGTGCCAGAATAGGTGGGAATGCATCATTATAACAGCAACTGGCTGCTGATCTCATGAGAACAGAATTTCACAGTACATCTACAATTACGAGGAGGGCCTTGCTAAACACTAGCGTGATGTCTCCAAAAAACATGGCAGCAGGGTCATACATAAATCAGAATTTTACTAAAGCTTTCATGAGACTGTGAAAGACAGGTTGTCAGGAAGTGCATATAGGGAGACCAAAAATAGCTATTATTTTCTGTGCGTGTGTATATCAAATAAAGCTGAACCTAAATGTTAAAATAGTCCTCCTAACCCAGCTTAATATGCAGAGACAACTAGCAGTCATTTCTAGGTTGAGCTTATGAGGAGTGTAATACCTCATTAGGATACCTCCCTGGAATGACTTTTTTGCAGGTTGGGATGTCAGCAAATAACTAACTAAAAACAAACTTATTTTAAAAACAAACACTTGAACTTACATCAGCGTGATAAAAACTACAGTGAATTACAGAAACCACCTTTGGAAAAAAGATATTTGAAGTGTAATTTAATTGTTTAGTTGGAGGGGGTTTATGATCTGTACTAGGACCAATCCCCGGGGGGGGGGGGGGTAAAACCGGACGATTTGGCTTCACTTTTCAGGGCTTTTGCGGCACGCTTGGTGGTAACGCATTACACGTATCGGGAGTTACGTAATCAGTTTACTTTTTTCCAAGTAACGCATTACTTTTAAATTTACAACAAAATATCTGAGTTACTTTACTGAGTTACTTTAAGTAACAGTTACTTTACTGAGTTACTTTAAGTAACAGTTACTTTACTGAGTTACTTTAAGTAACAGTTACTTTGTTTTCACATTTTTTGACTGACAGCTCTTCTGTCCACATGTTGAGAGAAATCGTGAGTAAGTGCAGAAGCGTTGTGTGTGTGAACATGATGGGTATTGTAGCTGTAGACTAAATGTGAGCATTTACTCATCTCTCACTTGCACAAAAACACATAATATTCCTCAAAATGAATAAAAACAGTAAAATGCAAAATCAGAATAATATGCAAACCTGCTATAATTAAATGTTACATTACACAAATATACTTTAACCCGTTTAATCCCACCGGTCACAAATGTGACCGCATCTTTTTTCTTATTTCTGGAAGCTCTAAGAAAGTTGTTATTGACTTTGGGCAAGAAATTCAACTTTTAAATGATAAAATAGATTGTCTTGATTAAAATCTAATAATGTCATGTGACTAGTAGTGTGAAAGGTCACATGACCAGATCAGTTTACTTCCTGCTTGCACATCTAGAAGAAGATGTTTTCCTCAGACTACTACAAAAAGTAGTATGTAAAACATCTTAATTAACAGATAGAACTATCATATTTTGTACATATATTCTTTAAAGGGTCTACTACTGATATATTTTGAGAATTATACTCCTGCATATATATTTTGCTTGTAAGACGTGCAAATTTGTTAACGGTCACAAGTATAACACTTCAATTGAAAACACAGGTATTGGCTGTTAATCCTACACTGAACGTATGCCACACCTGTGAGGTGGATGGATTATCTCGGCAAAGGAGAAGTGCTCACTAACACAGATTTAGACAGATTTGTGAACAATATTTGAGAGTAATAGGCCTTTTGTGTACATAGAAAAATGGGGGCAAAAACAAAAGTGTTGCGTTTATAATTGTGTTTAATGTAGTTAGTATCAGTATCCCAGAAACTTTCAATGTGTTGGACCTTCTAGACGTACGTGACATTTGTATTTTCTTTTTTGTTTGTTTGTTTTAATTGCTAAAATAAGAGTGTTGCGTTTTATTCTCCTGCGTCCTATTCTTCTCCGATCCAGAATTACAGCACAGCTGAAAGGTTTGTTTGAGCTATGCCTTCTACTGCACAGGTGTGAATTTGCATTTCCTTCAGCCTGAGGCTTTTTTGTCATTAAAAAACAAACAAGCAAGCCTAGCCCAGATTAGAAAAGTAACGCAGAAAAACAATGCATTTCTTTCACACAATTAGTTACTTTTTTAGGGTGTAACGCAATATTGTAATGCATTACCTTTAAAAGTAACTTTCCCCAAGACTGCACAACCGCTGACACAGATACACTCACAGAGAAACAGACACACACAGAGTTATCGCCTATGTTTATTGGCAGTGTAAGGTCTTTTCTTGCACAGGCAGGATGGATAATAACACACTGATAATTGTTTAGCACACAAACACAAATAACAAAGCGATTTAGTCTGGCAAGGTCAATGCAGCTGTGGCAGTGTATTGCACAAACCGACCCAACAAAATGACCGCTTCAGGCCACATCCATCACTTATTAGTTTAAGTCTTGATTCATTTGGGACCATGAAGAACATTTAATCCA